GGAATTAGCCTTCAATCCCCTAAGGGTCCAAGTACCCAAATAGTAGGGTCAGGGTCCAAAAACGACTCAGAGTATGGATTTTGGGGCCTAAAACCTTACTTTTTGGGTCCTCGGACCCTCTGGGATCCTTAGTCGCGAACCCTACGCGCCAAGACATTCTTTCAACGAATTAAGCCCCACCGACAACACCCAAACCCCAAAACCCTAAACCCCTAACCCTGAACCCCCTAACCCTAAACTCCTAAACCTCTAACCCTATACCCGTAACCCCTAAACCCTTATCCCCAAACCCCTAAACCCCTAATCCTAAAGCCCAAGCCCCTACACCCCTAATTTTCGACCCTTCAACCCTAACCCCATACATCCCTAAACCCCTGCAGGTGGGGGCTCTCGAGGTCGAGCCTGAAACTGTGTTTCTACTGCTCGGGGACTACTCGTATCCCCAAGGGTTTAGGGTTTAGGGTTCAGGGTTTAGGGATTTAGGGTTTAGGGTTTAGGGTATCCCCAGAAGAGCATCCAGCATACTATAGGAGCCTCAACAATTACCAATACTATTTTGGGGGCTCCTTATTGTGGTTATAGTATAATGGGCCCCCCCAAATCCTGTTCTAATTATTAAGGCCCCGTTTTTCCTTGTATCCCCATATCCCCAGAATAGCTTCCAACATATGCATTCGCCAAGGTTTTAGGGTTTAGAAGTTCAGAAGGAGCTCTGTCTACAGTGCCCAGAGTCCCCAGCAGCATTGATACTTCGTGTAATAGCCCGAAGCCCTAAAGTGGCAGGCGCCAACAAGCTGCGGCTAGACTACCAGCAGCACTGGACAACTAGAAGGAAGGCGGGAAACAGATCCATTTCGGGTTCAGGGTTTGCAGTTGTTCGTTGGCTGGTTTGCTAGTTAGGCTTCGGGAAGGGTTTCGGGATCCTCCAAGTACCCTTTAAAGCCTGTATGGTCCTTATTAGAGGGTACTTGGGTCATAGTAGAGGGTAGCTTGGGCGGGTCTCGGTACGCATTGGGGTTTAGGGTTTAGTGCTATTCGTTTTAAGGTCTGCGGTTCAGGGTTTGAGGTTTAGCCTAAACCCTAAACCCTGAACCCTAAACCCCTAAACCCTAAACCTAGCGAGTCGGCTTCCTGCAATGACAGCTTCACCTGGCTCACTGAAGCTATGCAAGAAGCCCAGCTCTTCAGGACTCAGGGCCTAGGGTTTAGGGTGTAGGGTCTGAGGTTAAGGGGTCTAGGGTCTAGGGTTCAGGGTGTAGGGTCTGAGGTTAAGGGGTCTAGGGTCTAGGGTTCAGGGTGTAGGGTTTAGGTTCATATCCTTGTAGGTCGTTGTCTAGATTCACGTCTTTTAACGTCCCCCAGCCAGTACGGCTTAGCACGGCACTCATATAAAAGGGACTCGAACACGGGGCCCTAATTTGGAGAGCTATCCTTGTCGTTCGACCGAGCTTTTCTTGCCGGAAATATCCTCACGCACTCTGTGGGACTTGCATGGAGTACATTGCAACCCGAACGACAATCCTAAACCCTAAAACCGGCACAACTCCGGAAACCTTTCACTCCGGCTCGTCTTTTCCAAGCAAGGCACAGCTGCTGCGACAGCAGGGCCAGGTCATGGAGGACGAGGCCAGCGAAGTTAGCTAGGACTTGGATGTCGTCAGTGGTCGTGATAGCAGTAGGTTGTTGCCGTGGTCGTGTAGTAGTAGTCGTCGTCGTAGTGTCGTCGTGTCGTAGTGTTGGTAGGTAGTAGGTAGCAGGTGTAGTAGGTAGTATGTAGTAGGTAGTAGGTAGTAGTAGTCGTCGTAGTAGTAGTAGCAGTAGTAGTAGCCGCCACCCCCTACCAACGACACTTGCTCTAAGCCATCTTAAGAGCACATCCATTTTACGCATTATTCGCGGTACTTTCGTAATGTGCAGCCACTTCTTGTTGTCTCAAAATCAATCTGTCGACTTTGCAAACTCGAGCTTCGGATTTTGGAAGGGTTCGTGGGGGTGGGGGGCATGGGCGGGTAGGGGGTTTGGGGGGTGGGTGTCATGACGAATCGCTGGCGCGCACGTGCATTTTATTCGGTATTTACAGTACTTTCGCAATGTCCCACCACTGCTTGCTGCCTAAAATATCCATTTGTCGACTTTGAAAGCTTTAGTGCTTGCGGCGATGAACATGATGGTTTCAACCGGCAGGTCGTTGGTACGGGGGGGAAGGGACGTGGCAAGTACTAGTAGTAGTAGTAGTAGTAGTAGTAGTAGTAGTAGTAGTAGTAGTAGTAACTATAGCAGTAGTAGTCGTAGTCGTAGTCGTAGTCGTAGTCGTAGTCGTAGTCGTAGTAGTAGTAGTAGTAGT